AACACAATCTTTTCAAGTTGAGCAATTTTGATGGAGGAAAAGGAAGCGTAGGAGGCAGGAATGTTCAGCCACAATCTCTCCTGCTTTCTCTGTAGAGCCTTTTGGAAGGCACGAGAGAACAGGGGTACAATTTTTTTTTCATTTTCATATTTATTTGCTGTGGCTGAGAAAAATTATGAGCATCTCATAAGGATTCATTTTTTTCCCCCTGATGGTTCCATAATTCTTTGATCAGACAAGATGGTGAGGGGGGGGAAAAAATAGCAGAAATAATAAAAACACCTCCAATATTAACCTTTCAAGCCCTTGATCTTCTTAACCATGAGGAGCCAAGACGGAGACACAGCCCCTTGTTCCCCTGTCCCTGTAAGGCATCACCACACACCCCTGCACAGGACTACACACCACGCTCTCCCTACATGGGATACTCCACATGTAGGAATAACAAATATACATGTGCATAGAATTTGTTTGAGGTAACTTAGCAGATTCTCCTTTTTTTCAGCCAATGTACAAGAAGTTTACAGAGAATAAGTGGGATTCCAGCAGTGAAATTATGAATGAGATCATTAAAACCACCAGCAAACATATTTCAGACTTCAAGACCTTAAAGGACCCGTTTTACCATGTAAGTCCAAGAGAAATATCGAAGGGATTCTGGGGTGCTAGGGCTGCATTTTCAGCTCTGATCCTCTGTGGCTTGAGCTGCCTTGACCTCTGGTGAGCTGGCCTGGTATCAGGAAGCCTCTCAGGCAGGATTTCCACGAGCATGCAGTTTACCCAGATAAGGCACATAAATCTCACCCTCCTCTGACAGAAGCAGACTCCTGCAGCTCTGCTGCACTTATTTCAGAGCAAACCACCCCTGATGCAGAGAAAGTGCTTTAGAGACCACCCAATACGTGGCTTTAATTACAGATTTGGTTTAGCAATCTTGAAACACAGATGCAGTTGCATGGTTCAGTCTCCTTGCTCCTTTGATTGCCCTAAGGGCTGGAGGAGGTGGATGCAAATGAGACAAATCCCAGAGAACTAAGCCAGAACCACATCCTCCCTGGTGCTGGACTATATATGAAATATCATAATATAAGACAAAATTTGATTTCCTGTCTTTGTCTTTTTAGTAGCTGGGACAAATTATGATGTTTTATGTGTTAGAGAGAAGAACAGGAAGAACAGCATGAATTCCTGTTTCTCTGGAATACTGTTACTCCTCTACCACATGGAGATCTTTTCTGTACTTTAAACTCTTCCCAAAAGGAAACAAACATTTGGAAATTCCCATTCTTATTAGAGCACAAAGAAATTCTCAGCATCTAGGATGTGCTGTAACCAGTCTTGGGAGGCTACAACCAGGGCTGTTCCTGCTGTGTAATCCACAGCAGGCATTGGTGGGAATGGCTCACAGCACCCACAATGGTTTTGTCCTCCATCCACACTCATGGTTTGCTATGTCCCCAAGCAAAAGAGAGATGGATGATGATTCCCTCCTCTCCTTCCCGACAGGCTATTGTTGAGAAGATCCACGCCCGTTTGGTTAAAGAGTACATTGTGAGGCTGCTGAAGAGGAAGGTCAGCCTGAAATCTCCAGCACAGCAGCAAACTCTGGCCCAACACATCTCCAAGAATGCTGCTGACCTGGAAGCCTTCTGCACCAGCAATGTACGTGAGTGCTTGCCTTGAACATGTCAGCACAGGGCACAGACACACTGAAAAACAGGAAAGCAATTCTGGGGACTTTTGTTGACCTTTTCAACTCAAATTTCCTGGAAGGCAGGACCTTAGGCAGAAAGTGGTCTCTAAGTGCTTGTAGACAGAAAGGGTCCCCCACACTGTAAGCAGCCTGCCCCTCCCTGCTTGGAGAGACATGATTTCATCTTCCTTTGTCCCACAGGCAGTTTCCTTTCGAAGGTTTACACTAATAGGGTCAAAGACTTAGATAATCTTTTTCAGTTTCAGTACAGCTTCCATGGAGCCTGGGTTTCCTCTCACCCTTGATTTCCCTCACGCTGCAGCTTTTAGGTCAGCCAGGGGATAAAGTAGGCAGTGTGGGGGTCTGTGGTATGCAAGGAATTTCTGCACGAGAGCCAAGCTGGAACACCCCTCTCTGTCCTTTGAGATCATCTCCCTCCTTCTCCATGCCTCTAATCTTGTCCGCAAGAAAAGCTAACAGCTAAGCCAAAACCTGTCCTCCATCACCCCATGCATGTTTGACTAGAGAAGGAACAAGTCTGAGTTTCACATAGGCTGGGTAGGAGGTCGGGCAGCTGCACCTTGGAAATTCCAATGGTCAGGAAAAAGCTCAAGCTGGGACTTCTACCCGATTTTGGTGATATCTGCAGATGCCAAAGGCGGGGTTGTGTTTGGAGCTGAGGCAGAGCAGCACGTGGCAGTGACTCACCTGGCCCATCTGATTAAAGACCTTGGTGCACACACCAGACAGTGCAGAAACCCAAGGAAAAGGAAATGAGCAGATAGAATCTGCTGAGGTGCATGTGGAAGTCTCAGTCTTATGGCAAACCACGCACCATTTGTGTGAGAGGATTAAAAACCATCAAAAAGCTAATCCAGTTTTTCCAAGGCTGCCTGAGGCAGAAACAGCACTGAAAACAGTGAGGCACCTAAAATCACTGATGTGTCCTTTCCACTTGCCAAGAAACAGCCTCAGGAAGCAGCTCCTGGGGTGGGGGGCACTTTGCACCCCCATGATGTCCTGTTAACCACTTTTTCTTCTTGCAGGGATCTCAAGCCACCTGGCTGAATTCAGCACTCCCCAAACTGGCTGAAATAATCCGACTTCAGGATTTGGGTGCTATTAAAATTGAAGTTGCAACACTCGCCACAACGTACCCAGACATCCGGTAAGAGATGCTGAAACAGATTTGCTAGTACTCATAAGGAATTTTAATTGATCCAGAAAGCAGTCAAATATGAATATAGGTGAGGTTCATACAGTCTGAGCCTATAAACCTGGGTGGGGGCTGCCTTCCAGGCTGTGGCAATCCCAGTCCTATCAGAAAGCAAAGGAAGATATGAATAAAAGCCTGTTGATATAGTCCAGATTCTGCCCTAAGTTTCTCCTTTACCTTGGAGATTCCCTTCCCTACCCCAAACATCCCAGGACAGTGCAAGGTCTGGTGTAGGACTGCCAGGTACTGAGCTGGCACCCACAGGGGATGTCAGCACATGCCACAGGGTGGGAGGAGGCACATCCTGCTGCAGTGGCCCTGACCTGTGGAGGTGTGTGGGGGGAAATAACACCTGCCCATCTCTCTTCCACAGCAAAAGGCACCTGGAAGCGTTCCTGCACATCAAAGCCAATCTGTCACGCAGTGAACTCAAGAGCATCCTGGGCTACTTGGCAGACAGCACAGCATCCACACAGGCCAGGGCCCCACTCTTCTCCAGCATCAACGTGTCCTAGACCAAGGCCTGCCTTGGCACTGCCCTGTGCTGGACTGTGGGGTGAGCTGGGGATGGAGACCATCTCCTGGAGCAATGCATGGCACACACTGCCACATTTCCTATGGAAAGTGCTTTGTCCAGTCTGGTGCTCAGCATCTCTGTGGGAATCATTGTGCTCCATGTGTTGCTGGGCACAGGGAGGTGCAGTGCCCACAAAGATTGGGGCTTCTCCTCCCACCAGCCATGGATTCCCTCTGAGGTCTCCTTGTGCCACTACATTCTCTGCCTGGACACTGCCCTGGCGCTCTGAACTCCATCTACCTCTCAGGGTGCCACGAAGGCCACATCACAGACCAAGCAGGCGCCACCTATGTAGCTTTTTATCTTCTAAGGGAATTAAGGGAAAAAAAACTGAAACCAACATTTAGAGATGTGTAGCATCCCATGAACTCTCGAGATGTTGGGAAAGTCCCATGTGAGCATGCTTGCAATCCATCTGCCTTCCTCAGAGCCAGGCAGGGCACTGTGTAAGGCTGGTGGGAGAGGCACCAGGTTCCTGGGGAGGAGGAGCTGCAGCCCAGCTGTGGCAGGGCTCCTGCCAGCCTCCCTGGAGCAGCTGCAGGCTCTGACCCAGGGCAGCAGCACTGCCCAGGGCCTTGGGGTTTCCAGTGGGGAACTGGCCCTGGAGAGTGTGTGCTTCCTCCACCTCTGTGAGGTGAGAGATGCTGGGCCCCTGGCAGTGACCCCATCCAGTGCATCTGCACAGAGGGACCCCTCAAACAGAGGCTGGGAGCAAGCTGCCTATTGAAATGGATTGTCTGGGTTAAGCAGCAGCTGGTAAAACACTTTGGGTATTACTGAAGTCCTCCTTACCAAGGAGAGGACTTCCAGACCCCATTAACAATGCAGGCTTTGAATGTGGGACTGGTCTCAAATGTCATCAATACATACTGAGCACCCTGTATGTGTCACCATTCTCTTGCTCACTCTTTCCCCTTGTGCTGTGAGGTAGATACGATGTGAAAATACAAATGGGTCTCTTGTGAAATTGTGTTTTGTTTCTTACAGCACAGTTTTTTTAGGAACTTAATCACTTGCCAAAACAGCACTGTGTATATTTGGAGACCTTTCCCTTCTGTTCTCCTGTTTCAGCTTTAGCATCAGCCTGTGGAAAGTCCAGAAGGAAGATGCCTGATGACTGTGCAAACTACATAATGTATTTATATGTATATGCAATATACCACCAGTGTATTTTTGCATCCAATTTTATTTTTTCTCAGTTAGAGATACTAATTTGCAATGTTTATAATAAACAGTATTCAAATATGCTAGAAAAGTGACAGTTTACTGTGTTGCCACTGCTATGTTGTCCTTCAAAGGGCCATTTCTCCCAGCCTGCTCTGGTGAATATCACCCACTGGTTCCAAGTAGGGGGTGTTTCTGGACTACAGACAGGCTGGAAAAGCATTGCTGCTGCCCCAGTAAGACATTTACTGAACAGGGTGGCTGCTCACTAGCAGTGGCCAGTGGCACATGTTCAGATGAGACTTCTGCCAACAGGTCCTGCAGCAAAATGGTGCCCTGAGTGAAAAAAACAGTGCTTTGATTTTAGCCTGCAGCCTGTCCACAGGCAGCACAAATCACCCTCTCCTTCCTTAAGCACACTCACAAAAAACTCACATAGACACATGGGTTAAAAAATTATTATTTAAACACTTGTCTCAGCTACAGTTTAAAGGCAAATGCCAAAATGACTTCTGACTGTGCTGAGCACTTATGACAACTGTCACCTGTTGGGTAACATTTTCCTTCCCAATTAGTGAAAGGTCACTTTATTGCTATAAAAATACGTATTTTGATTTAGAGATCTGTTAAAGGCCTACAGAAATGTATCATACAAGTGATTACACTGATCTTTAAAAAAAAATCCAGCTAAGTAAGTGCCCAAAGGGAAACAGTATCTATTTATATATCATAATTAGCATGGGTAGGAGAAAATGGTTTTCATACACATTTCATAAGCCATATGGAAGGGCATTGTGCAATCTCTTCATCCTGCTATAAAACCCCAGCTTTCATCTCTAATGAGCTCAGGAAACTAATTTATTTATCTTCCCGCATGACTCGACATTTCAGATGGCATTTATTTATAGGTGGCATATTACATACAGCCAGGTAGTTTCAGGAGGTTGCACAAATGTCTTCTGATAACAGTGTTAGTTCAATATGATAAATAGCACTTCTAAAAAGTAAGTAAATAAAATTTTCTGAGGTCAGCGTGGCTCGACTTTCTTTATCACGCTACCTCTGCTGATGCTGATGCCTGCCCCTCCTTGGAGGCAGAGCAGATTGCAAAGATTAAAAAATAGGATCAATTTTACAGAAGAGTCAGGAAAGCTGGTTCCTGAGCACAGCTGCTGTGGCATTGCCAGCTCTCCCTGTTTGCTGTCATCAATGTCCCCAGCACATCAGCGCACAACAGCCACCACAGTGGGCACAGGCTGAGCTCAGACATCCACACACAACACTCCTGGCTCCCTGCCCATCCCTCCCACCTGGCACTTCCATCGTTTGACAGAAGACTTGCAATCTGCAGTGCAAAGGACACAAACCACAGCATAGCAGGGGTGGCCTGAGGCGTTAGTCCCTCCTCTGCTCCTGCAGGAGCCACCTGTGGTGTGAGTCCCCAGGGACACCTGGGGAACCTCTGCCCTTTCTGCAGGGGAAGCCAAAACCTCCAGAGGGATCACAGACTCAAGTGTGAGTGTGATGGGGAGAAAAAGAACAGTAGAAATGTTTTGTTAGGGCCTGATATGAAACTTTGGGAACTGCTGACCTGGAAATAAAGGGTTAAGAAGCCAGAATGCCAGTAATTCCTTCCCTTTGAGCCTGGATCCTCTCTCTGAAATCCACTGAGGAATGACAGCACTGAACTAAAGGCCACAGGATTTGCTGATGTGCTGATCTTAAGAGAGACTAGAGCAAAGTGATTTGGTAGGTGGGCTTTTCCGGGTAGACAGTGCTGGCTTCAGTGAGGTGCCTGGTGACACATTCCTCACCTGCTAATTGCTGTAAAGCAGGAAATGTATGGTCATTTTCAGTGAGAATGTGGCAACAAATTGCCAACACCCATTTTCAAATCCTGCCTTTAGCATAGCTAATATGAACTTTAATAGAAGAAAACCTGGAAACCCCAATCCAGTGGGAAGAGACCTGAAGCCTGGCAATGCATGGAGCATCCCAGAGGAAAGGCACAGCTGCAGTCAGGAGTGGGATGGCAGAGGCTCCTTCCCAACAGGATTTAGGGCACATGGGCTGCAAGTCTGGCATCTCCCAGGAAGGTTTCACTTGCTGCTCCATCACCTGCCTCCTGCTTGGGTCAAAAGCCAGTACTGGGGACTAAACAGGCAGGAGCACCAGGAAGGAAGGTTGTTTTGGGAATAGGTGAGAATAGAGGTAAGTGAGCTTGAGCGTGGCTCTAGCAAAATCATGCTTTTCCATGCTGTAGGTTGAAATCCACAAGAGTAATTGCTGCCTTCCTGCATGACTTAAAAGAGGATGTGGCAACACCACGACACTGATATGCCTGAAACACAACATAGCTTTCCTGTAGCCACAATAATAGATGGCAGCTAATGTCAGGGGATTTCAAGAATTACTCATCAATGCAGGAAACACGGATTTCCACCCTAGCAAAGAAACAAATCCATAGTAATGAGAAGAGAGGTGAATCCCACTTCCCAGAGGGAAAGACGGGAAATGCAGTGGAGCAGACACACCCATTTAGGCTGTTCAGGGGCTGTTACAGAGGAAAAGTTAACTGGATTTTTTCAAAGCAGTATGAAGTTTGTAAGGTTACTGTGAAGTGAATGTCACACCTGCTGGGCACCATTTCTGCTTGCTACCAGGGGCTTTCTCCTCCTGAAATCAGGTTTTAAAAACCCCTCTTGAACTGACCAGCTTGGGGGCTTCCCTAAAGAGACATTCTTAATCTCTTCTCTGGGTCTTCTCAGGTATTCAACTCCTTCTTTCAGCTATCCACAAGTCTCCTGATGTCTCCCAGCACTACCCAATGAGGCCCTGGGACCACATTCTGCCACTTCTCTCAACCTTCCAGCAGATGGGACACACCAGGGCAAATTATGTACCAGAGCCCAGAAAAAACATCATTTGAGGTCAAGGAATTCAGTGCTATTTATCCAAGTAGTTTTTATCCAAATAGGACAGAGCACTTGAGCTGTAATAACTCCCATAATGGACTAATAAAAGAGGAAATCTTATTATTTAGCAGAAAAGCTGAGTTCTCAAAAGTACTCCTCTCCAATGGGAGGAGGTTATAACAAGTCCTTAGGTAGAACAATATTGGTCCTGGAGTCTTCAAGAGATTTTGAGCTCTATCCCAAAGGCGTGAGGCCAACCCCCAAGTCCCACTGGCAAGAGCAGTGTAGCTGAGAGCTCAACCAAGTTCACAGGTTAGGATGAAGTTAACAGTGCTATGTCCTAGTTAACAGAGGGCTGTTTCTGCTCCTTGGTTTCATTGCAGCCCCCTTTACACCAGGGCTGTAAGAAGTGGTGAAAACCATCTGACCCGTGGAACAGGGACTGTCATCTTCATGCTGCCACACAGCAGATCCCTTGTGTCAGCCCAGGTCCCATCCCCAACTGCACTCATTTTGACACAGACCCTTCACAATCTGCAAGGGACTGCACAGAACCAAAAACCTTGGCTGAAGCTACCCACTCCCCCTGCCAGAGGTATTTCCCATGCCCCAAGAGAGGCATTCAGCCCAGCAGGATCCTGGCAGCCACCTGCTTGTGACAACCTTGTGCTAGACCACAATCGTGGACCACACAGGCTTTGAGGCAAGTGGGTGTTCAGGGAATGTCACCTGAAGGGGTCACACTGCATTCAGGGGTGTCACTGCTGCCCTGCCTGGACATGGGTGGTTTGCAGAAAGCAGCTCTGAGCAGCATTGTGTCCCTCCACCAGGATGCAGAAAGACCCCTCCTAAGATTTACTGGAAAAGAGTTACTGGAAAAGGGGAGGAAACTCTTGCACATGCTGTGTGAGCTAGACCTGCTGCTGGAGCAGCCTTGGCAGCTTGAGAAGATATCACAGGTGAGATCCTCAGGTTAGTCCTGGAGCTGGAAAAAAACCCAGCATGAGGAGTAATCCAGATAACCTTAGCTGGATGTCAGTAAGGGAAACAGAGGAGGCTGCAGAAGCAGAGACTGAGGTGGGAGTGCAGCCTTCAAGTGTCTGCCATGCCTCTGGCCACGTTCAAAATCTTCTGTAAGTCTTTGTTTAACTGTCCAGCTCAGCATCCCATTCAGGTCCATTATAAATATCACTAAGACTAAAGTATTACTGTGGAATGCATGAACTGCCCAAGCTCCCATTTTTGTTTGATTTGATTTCTCTATGAAGCTTCTCTCAAAGGGCTCAGATTGCATTTACTTGGGGAACATTTTGTCACATCAGCACGTACAGCATGAAATCAATAGCAGCTTTTGAAGAAAGACCAGATTCATGCATTGTCCAGAACAACCTCTTCAGCCAACTTTTCTTGGGTGGAAACCACTCTTAAGAAAAGGACAAGTTCTACCTTCCACCTCCCTCAAAACCCTCCCTTCAATGTTCCCTGTAGACCATAGGCAGAACCCCATCTCTTCATGTAACATTATCTTTGTATAAAAGCCTTTTCTGTACAAAATAACACTGTGTCTATCCAGATATGATATTATTCTTTCCACTGTAATTTTCTACTGTCTCCTATGAACAACTCTATACTGCAAACTTCAGCTTATTATTCAAAATTATGAATTGCCCATTTTCATACTACTATGAATTGCCCATTTTCATACATTTCAATATAGCTTGAATTGAAAAGCAAATTCTTGCTTTCAGTAGTACATGAGCAATGCTTCCATGTAATGTGCAAATTATCATGAAGAGAATCAACACACAGCAGATTTCTGCAATGTTTACCTCTCTATACACAGAAATATCCTCTGTAGAGGTGCTTTCCTGTTACAAATGGAGGCAATACAATCTATAGGTTTTTGAGAGCAGAAAACTGGAGTTGTGAAAAACATAGATAATTTCTTAGTCAAAGGCTCATGCATCACACATGGACGCAGCACCCCCACACATGCCACTGCCATACAACTGTTTTCCTTACAGACACTCTGCATCCAGCCTTTTGCCCAGTTTCAGCCCTTCAAATAACAGTTTTCTGGAAATTTGACTTTTCCTCCACAGGAAGTGGGCTAATCAGGATATTTTGTTTGGCAACCTAAACTGTAAAGTCTGAGACCCGAGACTGGTTGTGCTGATGTGTGAAATCCCCTTTTTGTTCCCATGCTCTGCCACAGTGTGGCCTTAGATATCTGAGTCCCAGCATGGTTTTGGTAGTATTCCTTCTGTTAACTTTCTCTGCAAGGAAAATATCAGAAATTTCAGGCCATAAGAGCTCACAGTTCACTGTGTTGTAGGAGCTTTAACCTATTATGACAGAAATGCAAACAACATACAGAAGACTTTTCTGTTCTGTCCAGGTCCATGAGCCATCAAGAGCCTCAGTGGTCCTGATGTGCAGCTCCTGCCTAATGTAAAAATTACTCAAAAACCAGAAAACATGCTGTCATCTTACAATCTCTACTATCACTATTTCCAGTATTCAGGACTGTCAAGTGGTCAGTCCTGAAATTCTGAATTCTCTGCATTCTGAAGCTTTTGCT